AAGAAGAAGAAGAAGAAGAAGAAGAAGAAGAAGAAGAAGAAGAAGAAGAAGAAGAAGAAGAAGAAGCACTCTTCTCAGAGGAAGAGGCAAAGGGGCAAAGCTGCCTTCTTTCAGCTGTAAGGAGATCTAGTCCCCATTGGTTCTGGAGTATCACCACTGCCATGGAACCAATTTGTCCTTGAAGGGTGAGTATGGCTTGGGCCACCTGTTGGAGGTCCTGGATGAACTGGGAAGGAAACTGGTGATACCTGATCAGAGAAGTGGTCAGTTCCACTGGCGACACCCACAGTTTTTCCTGAAATAGCCAGAGGGGCCGGATTTGAACTGCCCTTCTGTTATGTGGGTAGCTATTGAGTCCACAACCAGAATCAGTAGGGGCTCTTTTCCATGTATCACCTTTCAACTTGAGGAAGAGTAATACTAGCCTGCAAACTCCTGACCATTTAGCAGTTAGGCAACGGTAGACTTGAGTGAAAGGTATCCATACAGCAATATTACATTTGTCCACCAGCCAACGTAGTAAGCCAGCTCAAGCTGAATTAAAAGTAAAAGCTCAGGCCAGGCAGTGGTGGAGCGCACCTTTAATCCCCAGCACTCAGGAGGCAGAGGCAGGCAGATCTCTGTGAGCTCGAGACCAACCTGATCTCCAAGAGCTAGTTCCGGGACAGCCTCCAAAGCCACAGAGAAACCCTGTCTGTCACCCCCCCCCCAAAAAAAAAAAAGTAAAAGAAAAGATATCCGAGCTATTGGGCAAAGCACTCCTGGATGACCTTTCCAGTCACCAGAGACGGCTTTTGGTGGGTTTTCTACAAGGGCAGGGTTTGGAGAGTGAGGAGTGGGGCAGAGCTGGAGGTTCCAGCTGAACACTGAGTAATGGAGGGAATCAAAGCATTATGATGTTGGGGCGTCTGGGCTGAGGGCAGATAGCGAGGGTTAGGATTCTTTTCAGTCTAATGAATTTTCAGCCCTACAGAATGTGTCCCAGATGGTTTAAAACAGTTCAGCATGCCAAGGAGGGTGATATGAGAAGGGTAGGGGTGGTGGCAACACTGAACTTGGGGTAGCTGGTGAATGGGGAGGTGAGGTTATTTGATGAAGTTACAGGAGAGGCTCTAAGTGGCAGTTGTGAGCAAGTCCTGCAGTGAACACACAGCAAGCAATCCCCAAAGCGGCCAGGTTGGGTGACATTGAGGAGCTGGTAGGCTGAGGTCAACGTCTGAAGTAGGAGCAAAAAATAACAGGTTTGTATTATTTAGGAGGTGGAACATTAGAGAGGTTATGGCCTTGGAAGACTGTGGAATCACCTCTTCTATGTGTGCTATTGTTAGACCCCGGAAAACTCAAGTATCCGGAGTCCCAGGCCACCCCAATCACCAGGCAGATTCGAGAGCTTGCTGCAAACTGCAGGAGGCTTTATTGTAATTTAACAAGCTAACCCCATGTTAGCTCGGGTCTTTGATCCGCCCACCATGGCGGATGGCTAGCAAAGACGGCTCCTAGGGGCTCCCAAAAGATCTTACAGGGCAGCGTAAGGGGAGTGTCTAGGGGTATGCACAGGCTTAAGATTGGTGTGCCTCCAGCCTTGGAGGGCTTGCCCTGTGTTGATTGGTCAACTGGTTGTTATGGCCCATAGGCCCTCCCAGGGTGGTTGCTATGCTCTCTACGTCATTGCTGTGTGCTTATCCGTAAAGCACACCCAGGGTCTTAAACTTCTGATTGGTTCCTTGTCACAAGACAGGCATCTGACTTTCTAGTGTCTGGGACAAGGTCATGGAAGCACGTGTTCGGCTGTTATGGCTGCCAAAAGGGAAGCTGGTTCCTTCACTATCTCCAAGTGTTGAGTAATTAATTCGACATATTTTCTGGGATCTTAATCTTGCACACTGGGTGCTAGGGACTGAAGGAATGGTAGAACTTATCAGCAACAATCAATTCCCACCTGGGACCCCATGGGTTTATGATGTAGGTTTGAAGGACCCCAATTTGTGGATGGAGGAGGGACTCAGATCAAGAATACCCATGTGGTACATGGTATTGGCAAGACCAGTATGGACAGCCTCCATATATGTCTAGCTGTTCTTTACAGTAGCCTTTTGTCTTTCTGAAGCACACGCAGCGCTCTCTATGGATGGTGTGTTCATCCTTGCTGTGAGCAAATCCACAGGTCAGAATTAGCTTTTCCAAAAGGCATAACCGGGATGTGTTAAGTATAACTACTCACAAATGGAAAGAAAACACCCCAAATCAGAACCAGAAACGCTACTGGTACATATTTGTAATCCCAGCACTGTGGAGGCTAATGAAGGAAGACTGAAGTTCAAGATCAGCCTGGCCTGTGGAGTAAGACCTTGTCTTACAAAGCTGGTGGCACTGGACTGGAGGCACACTAATAGACCTAAATTCATCTGTCGTGCCAGATACTACATCATGAGTAACTAGAATGCACTGGAAGATGTTAGTTAGCATAAGCCACCTCTGCAAGGTTGCATGGGTCAGATTTTATTTGTAGGGTCTCATGGGGTATAATAGCTCTTGTTTTGGTAGGAAAGATGCTGTATAGAGGGTTGGTGATGCATCTGTGAATGATTTCCGACTCTGCTGCCAGTGAGATGAGCAGGAGCACTAGGTTGCTCCAGGAAGCTGGGAGGACATCTCTGAAATTTTGTAGTGTGAGCCCATCCATTTTTAGGAGTCAGCATTTGTGTGTTTTGAGCCACATAATAATCCTCGGGTATGTTTTCAACATTCTCAGAAAGAAGAGTCACAGAGTATAGTGTTCTAAAGGGATAAAGGGGAAACTAGAACAGGAGGATTAAGGGGGTGGGGGATAGGAGTGCAGTGTAGAGGAGAGAATATGGAGGGAACAACACTAACGGCCTTTGGAAAAGCCATAGGAAACCCACTACTGGAGTAGAAGTGTGTGTGTGTGTGTGTGTGTGTGTGTGTGTGTGTGTTTTAAGAAAAAGCAATATTTGAGTAGGTAAGGAGATGGAGGAGGTTCTTGAGGGGTTGGAGAGGAGAAAGAATATGATCAAGAAATATTATATAAAATTCTCAAAGAATCAATGCAAACAGAAGAACAAGAACAAAAAGAAGAGTCACTCATGTATACTATGGTAGACCTGTTTTAAAGTACTTCCATTTTTTAACAAATGCACAAACTTCAGAGTTTTGTCTTCTTGGTTATTCCTCAAATAGTGGCATTACATGCAGCTTGACAAATCTTTAATGACATTACATGAGTCCCTATGACATAACCAAGGATGCACACAGGGCCAGGTAATAGTAACCAATAGCACTGGCAATAGTCTGTAACGTTGGGGATGTTTATGGGATCCCATTGACCAACAACTCAAAAGATGTTCCTGGTACTGGGGGTTTTATTTGTTATCATATAATATCTAGTTGGCATATCCCCTGAGATAACATGTTAGCTCCATTTAAACTCCTCATTTTATATGTGCATATATTTTAGGGAGATGTTGTGAACCCCCCAAAATGGTCTGATTACTGTTAATGAAGAAGCAAGTGCCAGGATGTTTGCTTCCAGTCCTTCCTCTCTTCCTTTGAACACACACAAGTGTTTAAGGCTGTTGGCTTTTGCAAAACCCAGAACAGAGGTCAGGACCCACCATCCCTCTCCCATGGGCTCTGAGGTCCTGATGAAGAGACTGACAGTGAACAGTGGGTCACAGGGAGACTCAGCAGTGAGACATACAGGTTAAAGTTCAGGCTGTTCAGAGTGGCTGTCACCCTGGGAGGGGCCACTTGATTGGGCATCTCATTCAGTCCTGCTTAGAGCATACTCTGAAACCTTCAGAAAGGGATTCTGGGTGGAACACACTGGGCTCTGGTGTTGAGCTTTGCCTCCACTGGAGACCTTGAAAGGAGGTTCAGCAAGCAAGGAGGGCTCACTGTTGAACATGTTTATTGCACAGCACAAGGATCCATTATATTTCAGAGATTCTGTTCTTTCCAACACACAGCATCCACACAGATGCCCACTTCCAGCCCAGCTTTCCTGCTGGCATGCTGGGGCGCCCTGTGCAATCAAGGGTGACTCCTTGCACCCCCAAGAGACTCTGTCACTGAGCTTAGGAGCCTCAAACTTCACCAGCTGAGAAGGAGGCAGAGCAGCAGGAAAGAAAGACTCAGAGCACTGTTTGCACTTGACCCTCTGGCCCTTGAAGAGAGGAAGCCTTTTATGTCTGAAAAAGAACAGAGAATACATTAAGTGCACAGCTGCAGGCTTGCCTAAAGGAACATGGAGAAGTCTGCACCCATTCTTACTAACGCGCTCTTCTGCCTGGCTCTGAGCCAGCCCTTTTATGGTCGGGACCTGCCCTACCCCATATGTGTGGGTATGTGTCCATATATAGTCTGTTATGTATATGTGTGTATATAATTGTCTATAGTAGTCAACCCTTGGCTAGCCTGGAACTCACTATTCAGAACAGGCTGTCTTCCGGCTCACAGAGAGCTTCCCGCCTCTCCCCCCTGAATACTGGGATCAAAAGGCTGCACCACCAAGTCCATCCATCTTCCTTCTTTTTCAGGACTGAGCAACAGAGCTCTTATCTAGTATGTGTTCAAAACAAACAAATGAAAGAATTATTTTCTCTGTATCCAGAGACATTGACTTTTTGTGGAACACTAAAAGCTGACAGGGGAAGAGCCTTCATTGTTTTTACAAGTGAACAAATAGTCCTTTCTTTAGCCTAAGTCATTTACCTCATGAGCAGAAGAGGGAAACCTCTGAGGATATTGTACATGACTAAACCAGGGCAAATAGAACCAACTTAAACAGCTTGCAGTCACCTGGTATACAGATGGCCCAACTCTGCCCATATGAGTTCCTAGTGTCTTTTTCCATGTGCAGGTGTGTGTTCACATGTGTGTACAAGGTATCTGTGTGTTTGTGGAGGCCAGAGGTCAACCTTGGATGTCATTCTTTGACACCTTCCAGACTTTTTTTTTTTGGAGAGAATATCTCTCATTTGGACCTCAGACTCACAGATTAGGGTAAGCTGGCTGGCTAGAGGACCCCAGGGATTATGCCATCAAAACATACCTAAAACACACAAGCAAAAACCCACATGAATGGACAAGAAGTGTTGATGTTGGGTGTGGTGGTACACATCTTTAATTCTAGCTCTTAGGATGCAGAGGCAGGCAGGTTCCAGGCTAGACAAAGATACAGTGATACCCTACCCTACACTGTATGTCTCAAATAAGAAGGAAGATGGGAGGGAGGATAAGGAGGAGAAAGAAGGGGAGAAGGAGGAAGAAGAGGATAGCAACTGATGAAAATTAGGTCTTGGCCACACACAGGTAAATGCACAGGGCATCAGGTGAGGACAGGGTTGATCATACAGGGCCACCTTCTCTGGAAGAATGGAGGCCACAGGGTCAGATTCGGGCCCCTAAGGCAGTTGGTTCTCGAACACAAACTACAAGTTCAAATACACAGTTTCAGTAGGCTCTGTGAAATAAGCAACCTGGGGTCCCAAACTGGACCTGGGGCCACTGTGGTGTTTGCTTCCCAAGGAGATTCCTTGAGATTAGAAAGAAAAAAATTAGAACACCACTATCCATTTAGATAAAAACAAAAAATGTTTTATTAATACTTCATTAAAAATCTACATTTCTTATTCTGTGAACTCTCACTATTCTACGTCACACAAGGAAGAAAAAAATCTGTTCCCAGTGGATGATTTATTACTGGAACCTAAAACATTATGTATTTATCAAAAGGTCTTCCAGATTGTGGACATGCTATGCCCATTACTTTTGGCACATGTGAAAAAAGAAAGAAAAGAAACCCAGTTTGACCACTTGCTACCTGTCAACATGCCTTTATTGCTGAACAATGGTATCAAGGTTTTAGAGACTTCTGTGATGAGGGAAAGTTACAAGAGGTGCACGCTTCCCTTTTTCCTCTTCCTTCTGCCTGAAGCCACGCCCAAAGGGGTGTGGCCACCGTTACAGCTTCACAAGCAAGAGGCTGCTACAGGGAAACATCACACACATCTCAGTGTGAGAACCAGACTCTCTCCTGGAAGCCCCTCATAGTCAGATGGCTTCCCCTCCTGCCCTTCTGCCACAAGAAGCATGCTGCACCAAGACAAAACCTCCCACAGAGCATGTCTGGGGATGCTTGAACACAACACTGGGCACACACACACAAGCTGAGAGCTGTTTAGTAGCAGGTACCCCCAGGTCCAGAGTCTGGGTCTACACACAGGTGTCTATTCATCTATTTGTTGGTTGGTTTGGTTTTTGTCATTGCCAGATGTGCTGTTTAAAGGAAAAACTGAGGGCTAGATGGTGCTCAGTGGTCAGGTGTGCTTGCTGCTCTAGCAGAGGACCAGAGATCAGTTCCCAGCACCCCTGTCTGGTGGCTGACAATGCCTGTAGCTCTAGTTTCCCAAGCCCTTTCCAGCCTTCATGGACACCTGCATATACATGGCATGCACACAGCACACACATGTACATATACATAAGAAAAAACGAACTGTAAAGAGAAAGCTGAAATCGTAGCAGCTTGGCCTGTATCCATCTCATGTTCAGATTACCACACCAGCACTTTATTTCATGTTTGTTATAGAGATTAAACCCAGGGTCCAGAACATTCTAAATACGTATGCTATCACTGTCCTACACAATGGTCAAGTGATTTTTCTTTTTCCCTCGTGCTTCTGGAGATGGAGCTCAGGCCTGGCACACGCTCGTCAAGGGCTCTAGTGATGAGTTTCACCTCCAGCCCTTCATTAGTGGTTGGTGCTCTGGACATTTAGTCTTCTTTCTTGCAGGCTGCTCTAATGGGAACAGCTCCACTGGCTCTAACCTGCGCTTGGTGGAAGCTTTACATTCTTTCACTCAGTGGACCCAGTCAAAGCAAGAGTCTCTTGGAGATCTTTCAACCTGAGGGCTTCTGGGGGCAAGATATAACTTTGTATGATGGTATCTCTTTGCCATCCTTCCTAACCATAGATCATTTCAAAGTATTGTAATTATCTCAAAAGTGGTTTTTTTTTTTTCATGTTGCCTTCAAAACCTTCACGACATCTCATGAAGGAATCTCAATTTTTTTGAGATTCCATGTTTCTTTGGGGTCAAACTTCAAACATGGCTGCTGTTCAACATTCTAAATAACACCATCACACACAAAGGCATTCTTTTCATACTGAGTTATTCTCACCATTCAAGGCACTTGGGTGACTGGGTGCTCTATTAGCTATCCCTGGGTTTCATTTTCCTCAAATAGAGAGACTGTGGATTATGAAGGATGCCTACTCCATAAACTGTGGTGGAATCCAATGAGGTAAGTGCCCAGAGCACACTGAGAATACAGTTGGTACAACCATAGGGGTAGTCCTCCTTAAACCCCTTGACCATCAGTTAGCTAGAGAGCTTGACCATGGTACTCCCTTGTTTTATCATTCACCTTTTACAATGGGCCCTGCAGCAGGATCAGTGGATCAAGGACAGTCACCCTGGAGGAGGACCTCGATACTTTGTCCAACTTTGATGAATAGAAACATTTTCAGAAGCCCATGTCACTGACCAGGCAGGTAGATTCAGGCCTCAGTCCTGAATGTTTCCAAGGATGTGAAACAGTGATGGAATGAACTGACACTCAGATGCTGCCCTGCAGACCTTGCAAAGGGATTAATAAACACCCCGGAGAATCTCTTCCCCACATTCCCGGGGAAGAACTGCTGGTAAAAATTGACCTCACCTGTGAGATCACCAGATTTACCTTGTAAATTTACCCCGATTCCCAACATTTGTGTCCTCTAACCTCTGGGACTCAAGAGCAGCAGCTGGTGGACCAACCCAACACATAGAGATTGCTTGGTTGAGAAGGGGCTTGGAGGATGCTCAGTGAGCAGAGGGAAGGCACTAGGAGTGTTGGTCCTGGGCCTGGAGACTCCTTGTGCGCCACAGGAAGGGGGAAGGGGACTCTGGAGCTAAACAGTCACTAATGGCCTAACCCAATGCCATGGTCAGAGGGTGGGGAGGGGTATTGTGACTGAGGACCTTCCTCTGCTCTGGCACTGCCCTTCCTGGACTGCCTGAGGGAGGAGCAGGGAACAAACTGTTCAGTGCCACATCCACTGGAGGGGTTCAGGGCTGCCTGGGGAAGGGCAGAAAAATGGCGCAGGGGCTTATTTCATGCAGTGTTCCTTCGACACAATGGGCAGCCAAACCACGCTGGAGTGACCGGGCAAGGGGGGTAGGGACCTCGGCTGACTTGTCTACCATTGGGAGTCCAAGCCAGCTCCTGTTAAAGGAAGAAAGGCTGTGACAGCCTTTCATAGGGTTGCAGTGTAGCAACCCCTCCCTTCCTGCTCAGTGCTATTCTTGTGTCCCCAGTTTTTGGGTACCACTGGTGATCTGCTGAGCTAGCTTGGCTCCCAGGGTAACTCTGCCCTGCATCTTGAAGCTCGTGGAAGGAATCCCAGTGCTCTGAGATACCGCTGGCAAATCACCGTACACACAGCCATCCCCACAAGGAAAATGTAAAGAACGATAATAAATTCACGGCAGATTCACAATGATCGGAACTCCGTTGAGCAACACACGGATCTAATGTGCTCAATACTAAGTTCTGTGCACAAACAGATGCTCTATCGACTGGTGCGCCATCCACTAACAGCAAAGATGTGTGTGTGTGTGTGTGTGTGTGTGTGTGTGTGTGTGTGTGTGTCGCCGGGCGGGGTGCTCTTACCACAGTGGCTGAACGTTTGGCGTGGGAGGCAGTACAGGGCTGAGAAGATGCACCTGCATAGGCGGCAGCTGTGCAGGGTCCAAGCTCCGTGCCCCAGGGCGCCACAGTCTCTGTAGAGGCCAGGACAGGTCAACCTCGTGTCATTGTACCCCTCTCTCTCTCCCGGGCCAGTCCCCTCTCAGCCCACTTGTGCTCCACCCACCTGTGCCTCTGGTCGTGCTCGCAGTAGCGACCCGTGAAGTGCGCAGGGCACACGCAGAAGCTGCCCAGAACGCAGGTGCCTCCGTTGTGGCAGCAGCGGGATCCAGGGACCACACCTGCAGGATGACCTGGGTCAGCAGCGGTAGTGGCCTCTGGAGCTCCCCTAGTCCCCTCCCGCAGAGGGCAGGGCGCCACAGCCTGGGAGGGAACGTGCCTGCTGAGTGTGTTTGCTAGGTAAACCTCACTCTTTCAGCTGAAGGCTAAAAAACAAGCTATCAGGAATGTGGGCGGGAGCCGGCACAGCCCTTGACACCCTCCACGTTGCTGCTTCTCCCTCCCTTCCACTGCTAAAGTTAGCATGGGACTTTGTGGACAGTGATTAACCGCAGGCCTCCCAGGCAGGACCACCCATGGGTGTGATGACGTTAGCGCCACCTGGAGCCCCTAAGAATGCTGGAGTTGCCTGAATGCCAGGGAAGAGCCTGTTGCCTTAGCGACACGGGAAAGCTGATAGTTTTGCCAATGAAACCACGAAACCTCGGAGTAAACTCATCACTAAAATTTCCTTTTAATTTTTTTTTTTAACTTGAAGGTGCAAAGATGCTCTTGCAGTGTCTCCTTTCCACCCTGGTTTATCCCACTACTCCCCCTCCCCCCAGCCCCCCGGTACTCAGGATCCACTGCACCCGACCGAACACAGTTAAGACTTACTCTCTCCAAAAGTCCTGGAGTAGGGAGGGGAATCCGGTAGGCGCCACCCCTCCTGGCTGCCATTCTCTGTGCTGGAATTACTCAGAATCCCATCCAAAGTCGTCCCCGGGGGCTTTGGAGACAGGGTATTGCTGATTTCTCTGGCACTGTCTGATTCCCTCTGATAACCTTTAAAGAACAACAAAGTAAGCCACTAAATGACAGAGAAGCGGGGATTTTAGGACTTAGCACTGAAACTCAGAAGAAAAAAAAAAAAAAAACTTACTATTTCCCAAATGGACAAGCTGCAACGCTACAGTCATCAAGAACAGAGGTCTGGAATATTTAAAGGAAATTGTTGAAGTTTCAAGTATACAGTCAATTCGTACATACAATTCGTATGTCAGTCATGATATAGAATAGATAGCACACTTATAACTTAACAAAAAATTACAAGCATTGTAATCATTGTCACACGTGTAGATTCTGAAGAAGTAGTTAAAGTTTAGAAAGGTTTTGAGATGAAAAATGCCTGAGAATTTTAACCCCCTAGCCTGGCTTTCTAGAACCTGGGTGACTTCTGACCTTACCTGGCTTGGTACCTTTTCAAACCGATGCCTAGGGCTGGGGAGTCCCCTGTCATCTGTGTTGGGGATCAATAGCCACAGGAGTTGAAACTCGATGTCCTAGCCCAGGAGTCCTTCCTCCAGGCCTTGGAGTCACTATAGCAGGTCTCAGAATGCACAAGCTTGCAAGACAGGGATGTCCCTGCCGTCTGCCTGGACCAGAAGGCAACAGGGCTGAAGGAAGATCTGCAAGGCCAGATGTGGAAGTCCTCCGGCCAGGACTGCTATGCCATCCAGGCTCGAAGGGCTGTCCCTTAGAGAGAGTCCTACAGAAGAGGGGGTGGAGACAGGCTGCCTGCCTCCCCAGTGCTATTTACAGTGATGACAACAGCAGGGTGGCCAGGCCCTGATGTAAACCATTGGGGACAGAGACAACAGGCCTCCTTAAACTCACTACAAAACAAACAAGAAGTTGAAAAGGCTGAGATCCCAACATGAATCAAAGAGCTTTCCAGGAAAGATAGAACATGGAAACTATTGGTCAGACCTTGTACTGGGCTCAGCTGGAGAGGGGAGCTGGTCAGTGGGACACAGCAGCTGAGGAGTGCTCCCATATGTTCTATGTGCTGAACAGGAAGGAAAAGGGGAGCACTCCAGGCTCTGCTTCCTGGTTGGGGGGGGAGGCTTGTTGGCTTCCATACATGGAGCCTCTGCCCTCTGGTGTGTACACAGCACTGATGTCACAAGTGAGGAAGCTGAACTCTGAACTCAAGGCCCATCTGTACAGGGTCCCTTTGGCCTGAGCCAAGATGCTGCAGGCTGCAGCCTGAATCACTGTAGTGGGTGACCTGGGGCTTCTGCTCCTCAGGTTTTCTAACTACTAAGATAGGACCTGAGCCCTATTGTTATCATAAAAGAGGACACTTTGTAATAGGTGTGGTAAATTCTTCTGTGACTTTAATGTAGAAACTCACTTCTTAAAAATATTGTGTCCTCCACAGCTGCAATAGTGATTGGCACTGGCTTCATTCATTTTTCCTTTAAATCATTGAAGAGGTTGTTAAACCAGGAAGGAATTGGTGAGCCTTCCTGGCCTGTGATCTCCCAATGAAGGGCTTTGAGAGCTTCCAGGATTAGACAGGGACTGGAAAACACAGTGGGCAAAATCCACAGAGAGGATGGGGCCTCAGGACTTCAAGGAGACACAAAAATTCAGTTTTAAACGTAATACTTGTTACTGGGATATTACTCAGTTCAATCACATGTACAAAACAAGTACAATTTGTAACTTTAAATCAATACAAACTTTCAGGCAGGCGTTGGTGGCACACACCTTTAATCCCAGCACTCGGGAGGCATTGGCAGGCCGATCTCTGTGAGTTCGAGGCCAGCCTGGTCTACAGATCGAGTGCCAGGATAGGCTCCAGAGCTACACAGAGAAACCCTGTCTCAAAAAACCAAGATAAAAAAAATCGATACAAACTTTCATATGAGCTAAACAATTGCATGTTTTTAAAGAATAGGGCCAGAGAGATGGTTCAGGGATTAAGAGCACTGTTACCCTTGCAGATACTATGGGTTAAATTTACAGCCCCACATGGTGGTTCACAACTGTCCTTAACTCCATTTCCAGGAAATCCAAAGGCTTCTTCGAAAGTCTGCAGGCACCAGGCATATCCGTGTTGCACAGACATATGGGCAAGTAAAATATTCATACACATAAAATTAGTTGTCCTTAAGCTAAAGGAGCTAAAACAAAAAAAAAAAAGTCGTCCTTAAGCTAAAGAAGTGAGTGCATTTCTTTGCATAAACCAGTTTTAAAATGGCCATTGTACAGGATGCCACGGGGACTTCCTGATAATACTCAAGTTTAAAGGCACTATCTCAGATCCAGTCTCTCCTCCACACGATTTCTTTCACTAAAATTTTCATAGAGTACATTTCAATGCATACGTGAGAGCTGGGAAACTGACCCAGTAAATTCAGACTCACTGTGTCAGTGTGAGCCTGGACAGACCTATTTCCCCCTGGGCTTAGTTTTCATGCAGTTACCAAAAGCAGTTCCCAGACACATGTCTGTCTTGCTGTTGTTTTCCTGTGGTTATTTGCTTGCTAGGCAGGAACCAAACCACCTGAGCCACATGTCCAGCTGCTCAACCTAGGTTTGGAGAATCTGCACTTTATTGATGGAAACTAGATGAAGGGAAGGGAAATGCCTAGCCTGCCAGACAGGAGTGAGAGATAGGAGCAGCATGGGCTGCCCCATCCCTAGTGTTTGCTTAGGCTCCAGGGGCCTGAGGAGCATCAGAGGGGAGGCCCTGGGTGACAGGACTGGTGATAAACTTTCTCACTCTACTGTCACTTGCTCTGTAGCAGGCCTTTGTGGTCCAGGCTGAGCCATTTACTCCCCATCAAAGGACTTTGGCATGTCACCCCAGACAGAGCTGCTGAATGTCTGCCACCAAGGAGAGCCAGCAGAATTGCCTGGCAATGGCTGACTGGGAGAAGGGGAGAGGACTTGTCTCTGGTTATCAGTTGTAAAGAGATAAGGCTGGAGCCACCAATCCCACCTCCTGGGGAGCATCCTGACTCACAGGGTGTGTGGGAACTGGGACCTCCCTGGCCCAGGACAGGATAGCATGCTGTCCCTTGTCCTCCTCTCAGCACCTAAAACTATCCCTGAGGAAATGACCTGATAGAGAATAGGTGTGAAGGATTCTCTGAGCTTAGAGCTCCTTGGGGTCAGAGGGCTCATCCAAACTCCATTGGCTTTGGATGAGTGCTTGGCTGAGCTACTTTCTGTCTGTCTGATCTTTTCTCTACTGGGTACTTCATGGAAGTCCTTTGTACCGTGTTTGTCCTTTGAGTCCTTTTTGTGTCACTGAGCATGAACCCAGGGTCTCATGTGCCACCCAAGTGCTTTTCTGCCCATGTCTGTCCTTTCGTGCTTGTCTCTCTCCAGGTTGCAGCATGCTGAGGCCTTCATGCATGCTGTAGTGTGCATCAGAACCTCACAGCTTTTTTGCTGCTGAAAAATACCTCACTGTTTATGTGACAGGACTATATCAAGTGTAGGGGAAGATGGAAGCCTTTCTCTTCTGTGGCATCACCTGAGATACACAGCACGGGCTACCAGCCAGAAGAACGCAAGCAGTGGAGAAGGAGTGATCGTGTTGTGTTGAAGACTTTGTGCTGCAAGGCCAAAGGCTTTTGGGGCTGGCTCTTTGCTCCCTCACGAGCCCACTTGCATTCTTGCTCCCATGCCTAACTTAAAAGGGCACGACTTTTTCTCCACCTCCTCCCACCAGTTACCAATATCTTCTCCTTCTCTTCCTTCTTCTTTCTCTGTAGACCACACTGGCCTCAAACTCAGATCTCTGCCTGCCTCTGTCTCCTGAGTACTGGACTTAAAGGTATGTGCCAACAGTGCCCAACTTGAGTCTAATTCTTAGTTCTCTTGTCAATGAGACTATGACCCCCCCAAAGTAACCTAGTAACACATGTACATACCATGTTTTGTTTATCCCACATGTGTTGGTAGATTTTTGCTTGTTCCTGCGTTTTGCAGAATGCAGAAAGTCGAACGGCCATCTACATGCTAGTGAGGGTGGCCTTTTATTAGTGAGGTAAGATTTTACTATGCTAGTCTGAGTTGAAGGGACTAAGATAGGCACATTTCCCGATAGGTAGATAGATAGGGAGAAGGGTTATAATTAGTAATAAAGCTTGCAAACTTCCAAGATGACTGGCTTCTTCCTCATGCTCCTGGCCTCAGACAAAAGCCTGGTAGCTTAAAGTAAATCCATATAGACATGTTTTCTCCTGCCAGCAGGCTCTCTGCTGATGGACTGGCCCAAAAAGTTCAAGTTTCCATCCAGACAATTACACAACAGTTGTGGACCAATCAGCCATCCTGCCTTTCTTCCAACTGACGGACCCTAAATTAGGACTTAAAAAAACCCCACCTCTCAAGCAGAGCCTGGATTTTTGTCTTCCTGAGACCCCCCATCTGCTTTGTGGGGGATCCTTTTGTCTTTGTGGATGCTGTATGTGCGTGTTTCCTCATCCCAGTAAACACATTTCTTCAAGTGCCCATTCTACTGTTACATTTCTTCACCGCTGCTTGTGAAGTTCAAGACTTTTCTTGCCTTCTAATTCTTTAGCGGGCAGAGAAAATGATCCTCATCAAGACCCCTAGATATTAACACTCGGGTCGTAGGGTTTCACATTTCAAATTTGCTTTTTAGTGCTGGGGGTCAAACTCACAGCACATAAATGTTAAACCCATCCTGTTCACCGAACAGCAGCCCATTTTGTAAATGAGAGTTGCCAGAAAGGAAAAGGGGGCCTTCAGAACCCAGGCAGTCAGGCAAAAGCTCACAGCGGCTGCCAGACTCTCAACAATAGGGCAAAGTTAAGAAGGCACCACTGAAACCTCAAGAAATCCTAGAGGAGCTATCAGAACCCTGACAGAAGGGCAAAGCCCAGAGGGGCCACTAGACTCCAACAGGAAGAAATGTAAAGGAAAAAAAAGAATTGGGGGTGAGGGTGGGGGAACATCACAGCTGTAGGTGGTCATGTCCTGAGTGAACAGCTCTGGGCCTGCAGAGGGTAAACAGAAGACTTGATGACCAAATAGACTAAAGGAGTGTCTGCAAGACTTCATTTTTTCTTTCTTTCTTTCTTTTCTTTTTTTTTTTTTTTTAATTTTAGAAGGGCTTGTAGAGAAGTCATCAGAGAGTAAAAACATGTTTTTAATAGGGTTGTCAGTCTTAGGGCCATTAACAGACTTTAACCTAAACAAAAATTTAAATGATCCCCAATCCTACTAAAAAACATATAAACACAGTAGAAATCATAAATGATTTGTTGTTATTTTTCGTTTTTGAGACAGGGTTTCTCTGTGTAGCCCTGGCTGCTCTAGACCTCTTTATGACCAGGCTGGCCTTGAACATCAGAGATCTACCTTTCTTTGCCTCCTGAATTCTGAGATTAAAGACATAAATTAATTTCTTTTTTGTTTGTTTGTTTGTTTGTTTGTTTTTGTTTCTGAGACAGCCTTAGCTGTCCTGGAATT